ATGCTGAAATAACGACATCATGATGAGGATTTGTAAAAAAAAAAAAAAAAAAAAAAAAAAAAAAAAAAGTCTGAATTTCAGAATTTGCCAGGTCTGTCTCTACGACAAAAAGAAACAATTTAAAAATGTTTGGTTTTTTTGATTGGAGTTTGGTTCAGACATCTCTAATTTTTTATGAAAATCTTGAAAGTGTTAGGCTTTAGAAACATGCAACACAACAGAACATATATGAGTGTCTGTTGCCATGTTTTTGTTTGTAATCACTAATGTTTAATTTCATGATTTGTCATCTCTGTCTGCAAAATGACGTGAACAATACGTTTAAAATGCTTGTTTTTTGATTGACGTTTAGTTTGAGGATTTTAGATGCAACACCTGGCTAGAATCTGTGTGGTTACAGCGCTATGAACCAAAGTGAAGCCACTGTGACGGTTTAATTGTATGTGGATCTGTCAGACCAGTTAGCCACAACCTGTTCATTGAGTGTGTACCAGGCACACCCACTCCACATCCGTCTATGTGTGTGTGTGTGTGTGTGTGGGTGGGTGACGGATGATTGCAACAAGATACATCAGTCAAATACTCAAGCTGTTAGCGTGTGTTAGTAGAAGGACAACTCCACCAGTGTTAAAGATTATTCATGAATTAATCCTTTTGTCTTTCACTAAATATCTTCCTTTCTTTGATTGTTTATCTAAAAGTAGCTGACCCTGCGTGATTTCATTCATCATGTTTGCTGTGATGTGATAGTGACACTCAGACTGTGATGATTATTCAGACGTTTAGACAAACACTGATCTATTAACAGTGTAAACACTGTGACTCACTCTTCATGGCGAATGTCGCTGATGCTTCTGTCCAGAGAGATCATGTCACTGGCCACCATGTTGAAGCCAAACTCTTTGACGGAGGCCTGTACGGCGTCTTTGTACTCTGGACCCAGGACGAAGGGTTTGGCCCCCTCTCCAGGACCATTAGGGACCCCTGGAGGCTCTGGTTCTTTAGGCTCAAAGTTACCCAGGATTCCTGTCTTCAGGACGGGGCTGGTGTAGGCATGACTATGGGGTCTGAACGTCACGTACTGCTGCTGGATCACCTGCTTCTCGTTGGGCTGCTCCTCCACTTTCTGGGGGTTGTTGGGCCCTGATGGAGGGAAAACCAGGAGCCAAAGCATCAGAACATATGATCCATCAGATCATCTCACACCTGCTCCTGACTCCTCTTCTCACAGGTGGAGTGTGAGTATAGGGGGAGTGTGTGTGCATGTTGAGTGTGTGTACTGTGTAGGCAGTCTCAGAGCGCAGTGTGTTTTTGTATATCAAAAAAGGAGTCTCACCATGTTGTTGTCGAATGGAGTGAAGGTCAACCTCTACCCCCTCCACATGAGGCCAGGGCACCACAGGCTTAAACTGGTCTACAGGGTCAGCTCTGGGCAGGGCAACATTCTCCTGTAAGACCAAATTGAGGATTTAAACATAATTGAGACCACCACTGACAGGAACACATCTGTGAAAGTACTTCAGTATTTCTGAATGGCTTTTCTTTTTGAGCTCATGTTTAACATTCAGCAACTCCGGAAAATGCATTAAGCTCTTGCAGTGGTTTGGGGGGTTTATGTGGTTTCGTTTGCTTCGAAATCAACAATAAAATCATCAGTTCAAGAGTCCAACCATCTTTTGGAGGGACGCTACAATAGATGAATGAATAAACTATATTTTAAAACCTAAAACGTTTCTAAAAAGTTGTGACGTGTGTCATATAAATGAAAACAGAATGTGACAAAGGGAAACACCGTATTTGATTGAAAACAGCAATAACACAACATATGCAATGTGGGAGGAAGCCTCCGAGAGAACCCACGTATTGGCAGAAAATGCAATATCGATACAGAAAGGCCCTGTCTGACTGGGACTTGAAGCAGGGACCTTCCTGCTGTGAGGTGACAGTGCTAACCACTGCACCACCATACTGCTCCTGAAGCCTGATGAGTCAACATCTGACTTCCTGTTTGGAAATAATGGCGGTGCGTCCTCTGGGCTAAAGAGAGGAGGGACCATTCGGCTTGTTATCAGCTCTCAGCGCTAGCTCAGTTCAAAGCCAGCATCAGTGACGGTATGTGGGTGTGGGGCTTTAGTGCATGAGGCATGGGTAAACTGCAGATTTGTGAATGCTCCCCTAATGCCGACAGGTTAAGCAGCAACACATGCTGACAAATAGACAAAAAAAATTGCGAAAAAGTCTTGATTACATGATCAAGAGAATGACAAACCACAAGTATTGCAACACCAAGGCTCTGTGGTTAAAGAGTGCGACTGATAAACAGGCCTTCCCATAGTCCTGACTTGTCACCCATTGAACATATTAGGAGGATTATGAAATGTAAAATAAGACAAAGGAGATCCTGGACTGTTTATCAGCTGAAATCTTGTATCAAGAATGGTAAAAGATTCCACTGACAATGACACAAACCGGTCTCCTCAGCGAACAGATAGTGTTGCTAAAAGATAAAGTGATTCTACAGAGTGATAAACAGAACCCTGTCCAAACTTTTGTGAAACTTGTTGATGGCAAAAAAATGTGTCTACATATATCTATGCAGACATGTCATAAGGAAATTGAAGGCATATCTTGGAACAGTTTACACCACAAGCACAGATAAGGTCTCTTTTGAAAGCAAATATTCTGACAGAGTGTGTGAAAATTCTTTAAAAAAAACGCTAAAATGGGGCACCGTTGGTGAGTTGTTAGGGGTTGAAATCCTCGAAACCTGACGGACCAGGCCTGAAATCTGACCTGTTGCTCCATTCCCGCATGTCATTCCTCGCTCTCTCTGTGCCTGCTTTCCTACTCCATCCACTGTCCTATCTCTACAATAAAGGCATAAAAAGCCCAAAACTAAAATTATTATAAAATAAAAATCATTAAACCCATGTAGCCTACTGCTAACATAAGGCAGGACTTCAACGCTTTCATGAGACTGTTTATGGAGCAGTGTAGAATATATATATTTTTATGAAGTAGACAGACAGACAGACAAGCAGACAGACAAGCAGATAGACAGACAGACACACACACACACACAGACAAGCAGACAGACAGATAGACAGACAGACAGACAGACAAGCAGACAGATAGACAGACAGACAGACAGACAGACAAGCAGACAGATAGACAGACAGACAGATAGACACACAGACAGACAGACACACAGACAGACAGAAAAGCAGACAGACAAGCAGACAGACAGATAGACAGACAAGCAGACAGACAGACAGACAGACAGACAAGCAGACAGACAAGCAGACACACAGACAGACAGACAAGCAGACAGACAGACAGACAAGCAGACAGACAGATAGACAGACAAGCAGACAGATAGACAGACAGACAGACAGACACACAGACAGATAGACAGACAAGCAGACAGACAGACAGACAAGCAGACAGATAGACAGACAGACAGATAGACAAGCAGACAGACAAGCAGACAGACAGACAGACAGACAGACAGACAGACACACAAGCAGACAGACACACAGACAGATAGACACACAGACAGACAGACAGACACACAGACAGACAGACAGACACACAGACAGACAGACAGATAGACACACAGACAGACAGACAGACACACAGACAGACAGACAGACACACAGACAGACAGACAGATAGACACACAGACACACAGACAGACAGACAGACAGACAAGCAGACAGATAGACAGACAGACAGACAGACAGACAGACCGACAAGCAGACAGATAGACAGACACACAGACACACAGACAGACACACAGACACACAGACAGACACACAGACAGACAGACAGACACACAGACAGACAGTAGTATGTACAGTGATTGTGAATATATACAGAAGACAGATCTGTATGATCTTTAAACAAAGCTTTGCCTCTTTACTTTGACATTTGTCTAACACTGTAACTTATCACCTGAGCTCATGTCACCTGTACATGATTGAGCAGTTCCGGCTTGGTGACGGCAGAATGATGACGTATCCGGATGTGTATCCCGGACTGAATGTGATTTACAGTATACACAGAATAAAAACCACAACTATATAAACCCAGAGGAAGTAACGTTACACCCTTGTGTGTGTGTGTGTGTGTGTGTTTGTTTGTTTCAGCATCAGCAGCGAGCTGGAGTAAATCACCATGACAACCATTAGTAGGATCTAAACGTGAGCCCCCTGTCGTTATCAGGCATCATAAGCACACCTGTAACTAACTAAACACGGAAGATAAACACCTATAAAACACACTCTGACTGTGATCCTTCTTACAGTTAACTCTCAGTTGGTTAGCTCGTTAGCTTTGGTTAGCTGGTTAGCTTTGGGTTAACTAAACTTACCTGTCTGTTAAAGGGGTTTTCCTCGCTGGGTTTGGGGGACAGAGAGGACCAGACGACCACCAGAGCCAGGAACGTCCCGATGACCACCAGAGACCGCAGGAGAAAGCCCACCTTCAGCCTCATTCTGAAGCGTATGACACGATGAGCTAGGCTAGGTTAGCTGCTGCTGACAGGAGCTAACCGGCTGGAAGCTACCTGAGCTTTCAGCTACCTGGGCTAAGAGCTACCTGAGATAAGAGCTGGCTGTGTAGCTGTAAGTCTGAACACGGAAGCTGAAGACGTCAGATCAGACTGTCTGTTAACATTACAGAGTTGCAGCTCCAGCAGGTCGATGTTCCGGTGTTTCCTTCCTCTCTGCTCTCGGACAGTCCCTGCTAACGCCGACACTGGTCCAGCTCAGTCTGAACAGCCTGAGTTAAACACCTGTGTCGTCTGGTTTTAAATTAATTATTCAGCATCATTTTTCCATAAGTACTTCACTTGGATCCCCCTCACACTGAGCCCTGGTTCAGATCCGAACACGGATGCGAAATCCAGCAGCAGGTTTTTCGGGTGTGTGCTGTCAAACAGGAGGTCCTTCCCAGACTCAACCTGTCCTTAGCAGGCTGTGCCTGTAGAGTCACATAGGACTGGAATGCATATATCATGACAAAGACCATAATTAAGAGACTGCAGGATCTAATTGCCATGGCACAGGGGCGTATAGAGACTTTGACTGTAGGGGGTGGAGGGGTAGTTGCAACTGGGGCACTGCCTAAAAATAATAGAATATAATTAATCTTTATTGTCTTCTAGGGTCTCCAGATACATAAAACATTAATGCATTCAGTAACACAGACAAGCAGAGCACATTTACACATTAAAACATCATATCATGGTTCCGATCTCATCAAAAGGGACATCAAAAGGGGTGGAATTTGTGTACACACACACACACACACACACACACACACACACACACACAAACAAACAAACATTTTTTTGCTCACCCTTCTGTCTCCACTCAATCTTAGTTACTATTGAAGTTATGGAGGAATTCAGTTTAATGCATTTTGGAGCCCACTGAAGGTCTCTGGGTGCAACTGCACTGTGGTGGAATACACATATGGCATGATCCACAAAAGGATTGCACTACTTTTGCGGCTGCTAAACATGTGAAAATCAGAGAAAACATTACATGCAATCCACAAAACAAACATAAAAGATTAAATGCATGCAAACTGCACTGCCAAGAAAACAGCACCTGTCCCATTTACATCTATGTAAACTAATAAATATCCATAAATTCTGTGCAAAAATTGCCGTCTTATATGAAAATAAGCCGTGTTACAAAATACCATCTAACTCACAAAGACCAGTGCAAATTGCCATAGGCATTTATAGCGGTGCTATTTAAGGCTATTGAGACCTGTCTATTAAAAAGCTGCACCTTTTCTCTCTCTCTCTCTGCTTACTCAAATAAACGCAAAAAGAGGGCACATTACTGGTGGTAACTGTGGCACAGTATTCATAAGAGATGACACACTTAAACTTTCCACTGATCAGTAAAACAATTCCACCTCATTATGACTTAAAAATTAATGATCTCTAATAAACTCTAAAAATATGACTTTGACATTATGATTATTTTTAATATAACAAGGGGTTGAATCAGTCTGGGGTTGTCAGCGGCTCCACACTTCATCCACATGAAGTGTGGAGATGATCAGGAATGTTTATCATGATGGAAATGTAAGTGTGGATTTTTTCTTTGAGTTGCCCTTTCTTGCTCCATTCAGAAAGGAAGCTTTGTTTCAAACAGTTAAAACTCAGCTCCGAGCAGCGTAAGGGGCAGATAGGTTCTCACCACATTCAGACAAAACTTCGGGGAGCAGGACGAGTTTTTTGGCTTATTTGTATTTGACCTTATTAGTTGCAATATGTTTTGTGAATCTGACCTTGATACGGCACACTTTAAACTACTTAATTACTGTGAACAACCTGTTTCACCAGTAGCTTCTCAAGGCTGGGCGAACCCAAATATGAAACGGATCAAGAAGTGGACAAAAGATTGGCACTTAAACGGACTATTTGATTAACTTCAGGACTGAACAAACATTTTAAGTCACACAATAAAACGTCAACATATAAACCTTCTCAGCCTAAATCTTTAAGAACTCAAAAAGATGCAAAAATTGCATGCAATCTTCTGCACACTGACTTGCAGAAGTACATTTATCGGCAATGTTTTGGCACTGAAACTTTAAATTACTAATTACTAAATTACTAAACTGAGTGTGAAGGAGTTTAAATGCAAAATTGGACGGACTTATTCCTTTACGACATACCTGTCATGAAATAGATGAGCAAAGTATTTCTTTCAACATCTAAACGTACTTACAAAAGAAAATATTCTACACTGACATGTAAAGAAAACTACTTGCAGAGTCCCGCCTCTGACATGGCAAAAGGCCAATCACACTTTTTGAAGGAGGGCTCATGCCACGCATCTGGAAACGGCCCTTCATTGGCTTCGAAGTGGGAAGAAAAGGTAGTGAAATATTGCCAATATATTTGTGCAAATAAGACAGAATGCCAGAGTTTGCAATCTCTGTCTGTCTGTGTCCGTCCGTCCGTCCGTTTGTGTATTTCTCTGACTGTTTGTCTTTCTGTCAGTCTGTGTATCTCTGTGTCTGTCTACCTGTCTATCAGTCTGGGTCATCACTGAGACTGAGAGATTTTTGGGAAAAAATAAATAAAAAGTTTGAATTACAATCTATTGACAGTTTAACTTCCTTGAGGACATTTGATGTTTTTTCCATTTTGAGGGCTCTTTTCACCTCTGTAGGTCTTATGGATGCTTAAGTCTTCATATCAGTCTGTTACATCACCACAGGAGCCCCGCTTCTTTCTGCTCCCCGCTGACAGACGATTGGATGCTCACTGAGGTCAGCTCATTGATCATTTATTGATTCTTCACACAAACAGGCAGATATATTAAATAAATCAAGCGTTTACATGATGTCACACAGACAGTATGAGGTCAGAGATCAGCTGACAGAGTCAGGTAAACAGGAGTGATGCTGGTTAAACATTAAAACACAAACAGCATAATGTGATGCCATGATGATGTAACACACGGTTACCATGGTGATATGTTTATGTGTGTTTAAACTGTTAAAGACATGTTTAGTGTTGTATTGCGGGTGTTTCCCTCCGCTTCCTACGTGTGATCCAGGTAATCCGTGAGCAGGGGGGGCAGAGGAAGCACGGGGAGGAGCTTCAGTCTGGACCGACCAATCAGTGACCTGATCTGCAGACGACACAGCTGGCAGAGAGTCCTCGGAGACACTGGAAAGAGAGGGAGATCCAGATGTTCATGAGACAGGTGTCTTTGTTAAAACATCAGAGAAGACTCCTATGATTAATCCCATATGATACTAACTTCACCTTTTCTCTTGTCTGTCTGTGAAACCTATAGAGTATCTTTGCATGATTTGCAGCTCAAAAAACAAATTTCTCTTACACTGGTGTCTGTACAAACCCTGATTTCAGCCTCTGCCTGAAATGCTTCGTTCCAGCTGTTGTCTCTTTAAGGCTCCCCTCCCCACATGCCCACTTTCCTTAGATCGTCCAGCTTTCAGAAAGCCCTCCAGCACTAGGTTGCACCAGCTATGCGTAAGTTCAAACATAGCCTATTTTGAACTTAAATTGAAGAGAGTTTAAAGGGTTTACACACCAATTACGTTTAGGGTGAATTCACACCAAAGCTGTTTGAAGCGAACTCTGGTCTGTTTGTTGGGTAGTTCATTATGTCTTGGGTGGTGTGGATGTTTAAGGAAACTCTGGTGCGTAACAAAGAATCAAACTGGTCCGCTAGCTTTGTCATATGTGAAATACATTTTCGTCACTGTTTGTGGATCAACTGCAGTTAATGGAAGTTATTTGCAGCTGGTAGTTTTTTTCAGAGACCGTAAGGCACTCAAATGAACGCTGAATAAAAAAATGCTTTTCACTGATTGGAAGTTACTCCACTACCTAGTGCAACAAAGCAAAGACACTACTTAAATTAAAACGTAACTAGTTTCAACGTAAGGTTTAGTGTAGACTTTACACCATAACTTAGGACAGAACTTGAGCAAAGCTGGTGCAACAGTGCACGGGGGGCAGAACTCGTGAGCTGGTAGAACAGCAAATGAAAACGTCTCCACCTGCCTTCATTGAGGCTCGAAGCTGTCTCGTGAAAGTCTTGCGGAACTCTCGCATGTGTTAAGCAGAACGAGCCGTTTCTTCAGACTTATCCTTGGATTACTCCAAAATACGTTTATGTTTAATATCAAGCAATGTAACACTCTAGGTGAGTTTTAAGATGGGGATAACCACAATAGGTCAACTTGACAATAACCTTCAAAGCTCTGCAGCAGCTGTTGTGTCTGACCACCAGTGGCAGCCAGCTCCACAGCACGTTGATTGTTCCCGTCTCTGATGTTCACGTCAGCTCCATACTCCAGAAGCAGTGACACCAGATCAGCTCCGCCCGCTCTGACCGCCACATGGAGAGGACTGTCCGCTCCTCGACCGACGTTCACTCTGGCGCCTACAGGACAAGACCAGGTGAGACAGCTAACACAAGTGTGAGCAAGTAACACAGCTGTGAGACCTGTATGATCACATTTGTGAGCCAGGTGTGGTTACAGCTGTGCGACAGGTGTGATTACAGTTCCGAGGCAGGTGTGAGACAGGTAACACAGCAGTGAGACAGATAACACCAGTGTAATACAGGTAACACGGCTTGTAGACAGGTGTGATTACAGGTTTGAGACAGGTGTGATAGAAGTAACCCAGCTGTATTGCAGGTAACACAGTGAGGAAGGTAACACCAGTGTGATACAGATAGCACAGCTGTGATGCATGTAACACAGGTGTAATAAATGTGATACAGATGCGATATAAGCCACACAGGAGTAACACAGGAAGTGCTTCTTACCTGTGTGCAGCAGAATCTTGGAGCACTCGGTGTGTCGGTGTAAACAGCTCATGTAGAGAGGCGAGCCCAGGTGAGACACCTCGTAGTCTGGGTCAGCTCCATGAGACAGCAGAATCTCCACACACTGACTGTTACCTGCACACATAGGTGACACATTATTTCCTCTGTTCTGTAATGTTCATAAGATCCTCACCTCTCTGCACAAAAAAATCTGACTCAGAAATAAACATTTATATCTTAAAGCACCTTCAGTGTAAACAAACCCTGAGACGTTGTGTTAAATGTGTCCCTCATTATGTTCACATCTCACCGGTCAGGAGTGAACCTGTTTTAAGGTGTTTACCTCTCTTGCAGGCTTCGTGCAGGGCCGAGGGGAAGTGTGCGTGTGTGGTATGTGTGTGAGCTCCGTTCTGCAGCAGCAGCTCCAAACAGCCAACACTCCCAGAGGTACAGCAGTTATACAGAGGAGTCACCCCGTCGATGGTGGCTGCATTAACCTGCACCGACACACACCCACACACAAACACGTGAGTGGACAGGGTATTAATATTAAAAATATTAAAAATGATAAGAGTAACGTCAGCTTACATTAGCTCCAGCGTTGAGCAGCGCTCTGACACAGGCCACATGTCCTGACAGACACGCTTCATGCAGAGGAGACACGTGGTCGATGGTGACGATGTTGGCGTGATAACCCTGAAAAGTGGAGACAGTCAGATAATGAAACAGTCAGTCTTTCTGTTTGAACGGTCTCACTCCCTCTGTTTACTTTAAAGATTAAACTCATACAGAGTATGAACATACATATGTTTACTCAACCAGGACAGTAAGCACAAGCTGTGAAGGGACTCATTGAACACTGAAAACTGCACTGTGTGACATGTTGACTTGGAAGTGAAAAGTTGAGGACATGAGGTGATAAAACTTTAACTGTACTATATTAAAGAGGTGGTAAAAGTTCAAACTGGATCTTTGAAAGTGCAGACTCTGTTCTGATCTGGATCTCAGACTCTGTGTCTTAAATTCTGGTGTTACGTCCAAACTAAACCCTAAGTGTAAAACTAGTTAGTTAACAACTTAAGTTGTGCCATTGTTGGGTCATCACAGAGACGTAAGGTTCATCTCATCAACTAGTAGAGCATAACTTGATGGGCCCAATCAGCGAGCAGCATTTGTCTTAATCATGTGTTTGTTCCAGTGTTTCCTTTCGTGTCTAATTGTCTCTGAACAAATTAACGGCTAAAAATAAAATCTGGCGGCTGATCTTAATCCATAAACACAAACTAAACTGTTTTTTAAACATGACAAGGCATTATGATGCCTGACACCTACAGCTATCAACAGTGCCATCTAGTGGTAAAATATTTAACTACAACATGAGGTCATTTTAACAGTACTCTATTATAAGATGAATTAAATGCTCAGGGAAAACTACAGCAGAAGACAGAGCTGCTGACACACAGAGCTGCTGACACATAGAGCTGCTAACACATAGAGCTGCTGACACATAGAGCTGCTGACACATAGAGCTGCTGACACACAGAGCTGCTGACACATAGAGCTGCTAACACATAGAGCTGCTGACACATAGAGCTGCTGACACATAGAGCTGCTGACACACGGAGCTGCTAACACACAGAGCTGCTGACACAGAGCTGCTGACACATAGAGCTGCTGACACACAGAGCTGCTAACACACAGAGCTGCTGACACACAGAGCTGCTAACACACAGAGCTGCTGACACATAGAGCTGCTAACACACAGAGCTGCTAACACACAGAGCTGCTAACACACAGAGCTGCTGACACAGAGTTGCTGACACATAGAGCTGCTAACACATAGAGCTGCTGACACATAGAGCTGCTGACACATAGAGCTGCTGACACACAGAGCTGCTGACACAGAGCTGCTGACACATAGAGCTGCTGACACATAGAGCTGCTAACACATAGAGCTGCTGACACATAGAGCTGCTGACACATAGAGCTGCTGACACACAGAGCTGCTAACACACAGAGCTGCTGACACAGAGCTGCTGACACATAGAGCTGCTAACACACAGAGCTGCTGACACACAGAGCTGCTAACACACAGAGCTGCTGACACATAGAGCTGCTAACACACAGAGCTGCTAACACACAGAGCTGCTAACACACAGAGCTGCTGAGCTGCTGACACAGAGCTGCTGACACATAGAGCTGCTGACACATAGAGCTGCTGACACACAGAGCTGCAAACACACAGAGCTGCTGACACAGAGCTGCTGACACATAGAGCTGCTAACACACAGAGCTGCTGACACAGAGCTGCTGACACATAGAGCTGCTAACACATAGAGCTGCTAACACACAGAGCTGCTAACACATAGAGCTGCTGACACAGAGCTGCTAACACACAGAGCTGCTGACACACAGAGCTGCTGACACACAGAGCTGCTAACACACAGAGCTGCTAACACACAGAGCTGCTAACACACAGAGCTGCTGAAACACAGAGCTGATCTGGACCACATGTGAGACTGCTGCAAACAGTCAAAGAATTAAAACAATAAAGAGACAGGCTGCTCCTTGACACGTGTCACCCATGTGTGCATGTATCAATGTGCATCTATGTGTGTATGAGTTTATTACCTGGGCAAGCAGAGTGCGCAGGGCGAGAAGTCGACCCTGAGACGCTGCTTCATGAAGAGGAGAACGATCAGCCCATGAACCTGAAACGACAGAGAGAGATGGGGTTTCTATGTGTCAGCAGCTCTATATGGCTTTTGGCGGTGGGATGGGACTGTGTTTAAGTCAGGACATTGGACACAACTCTGTTCCATTTGTCTGTCCCTCCCTGTGTATACCTATCCCCTCTATCTGCCTCTCTCTGTGCATATCTGCCCCTCTTTCCCTTCTAGTGTGTAATGTGTGGATCATACCCATATCTCCGTCCCCCCACGGCACGTCCAGCCACTGATAGACATAAGACATCCTGCAGAGACGAGCTGCAGAGACACGAGCTGCAGAGACCAGCTGCAGACCTCTGACTGTGACCCCTCACTCTGGAGCTACTGCTAAAAATAACAGCTACCAGCTAACTGATCAAGGGCCTGCATAGGTTCAGCACAAAAGATTTAACTAACTAACGAACCAGTTGGACTAAAAAACCAGTGTGTGTAGCAGCTAACTCTGACTCTCTGCTGTCACACACGTTTTAAATTCTTCTCCCCCTCTGCAGACACACTCACACTGAGACAGCCATATTTAGACAGTCTGACCCTGAAATACTCACAATGGTATGTGACAGCGACCATTTTGGTAAGGTCAACAAAAAAACAACAGCAAACACCACAGAAAACACTTTTTACTTGACTTGTGAAAAACCTGTGAGACCTGAACACTTTCAAATATCCATGTCTCTCGCTCTTATTATCTCTCTCTCTCTCTCTCTCTCTTTCATTTTAGTTTGATATCCTCTCACCAGCTCTGACTGATACGGAAGAAGATTAGGGCCACTGAAAAAAAATGTTTTGGTTCTGACTTTTTTTTTAGGATCTCAGAATTCTGAGATTAAAGTCAGAGCAGGCTTAAGACCCCAACTTTTAAAATAAAATTGATCAGTGCAGATGTCTGCAGCCTCACTAACTGCATGCCTTCATAATACACCTCAACCTACAACAGCAGTCTGCAACCAGGGGGGATTGTAAAACTTCTGATCAATTTTTAACCTGTTCATCAAAAGTCTATGTTCTGATTCAGAGCTGAAAATATGCTGATTAGTTATTATTAAATCTTGAAATCAATCATGTCTCAGACAAACTGATGAATCATTTGATCTATAAAACATCCATGTGGATCGGTGTTTACAACATGACGTCGGCAAACGTTGCCAAATATTAACTTTACTGTCATGGAAACTATTCACTTTAAAGAGCTACAGTCAGAGAGATTTACACTGTTTTCTTAAATCCAACCTGCATCTCCTCTCTCCCCCCCCACCTTTAAAACCATGTGATCATAATAATGAGGTCATGTGATCAGTGAGCGTTTACACTGATGGATGATTGTTAAACATCAAAGAACAGTGAGACAGCAGAGAGAGTGAGACTATGGTCATCTGCTGCAGAGAGAAAAAACAAAACAATACGCAAGAAATAAACAATTCATTCATAAAAACAGTGAACACCAAAAAGCTGTCTGTGTTCATAACAACATTGTCCAAATGGTGATACTTTTCGATGCCATGATATAATCTGTTTTTTTAATGATCAAGAGTATCAAAGAGTACTGAAGCTTAAAAAAACTAGCCTATATCTATTTCATAAGACAGGTGTGAACGAGAGGAATGAACCCACCAACAAATTGCATTGGCAGCATTGGGATATGTGCTCTTTTGTGCCATATAGACAGTGTGTAGAGGTTTGCTGCCATTTTGATGATT